GTCCATTTGAGTCTTTTTCTATTTTTAAAAAAATAAAAAATAAAAAAATCTAAGAGTATAACCATAAATTAACATGTTCACAGCAGAAGCTGATAATCAGAAGTAAGGGGTGAGCAGCTTCTCAGAATCAGCTTTTTTGAGTTAAAATAAGCTGTTAGAATCAGAAACTGTTTGAAATAAGTTTAACCAAACAGTCTAAAATAACTTTTTCAAAGCTAAAAGCCATAAATTAGCTTTAAAAAGCTGAAACAAACACCTCCTATGTAGGTCAAGTTTGGCAACTTAAAAAAAAGTTAAAAAATTTAAAAAGTTATTACTATTCACCAAAAGTCAAAAAGTATAGCCGCACAACTCTCAATTCTAATTTTTTCCTATAATAATTTATACAAATTTTTAATACACATTTTTTCATAAAAAATCAAAAAATTAACCCAAACAACTATATTTTTTTCCTCAATTTTTTATTCTAAAAAGTCAAAAAGTACACTTATTTAAAATATCTCAAACAACCCCTTAAGGTTGATTTGAATCGTGAGTTCGTTTTTTAATTTTTTTGATTAATTTAGTTTGGGGTTAAAAAATTTAGTTTAAAATAAATTTTTTGACTTTTTTGTCTTTTGTGGAAAAAAAAAATAATTATGCCTTCAAAGTGACATTTTATTTCATTAAACTAAAAAATTTATTTTATCTTTTTATAATTAAAACAGCCTCAACCCCACCCAAACCTACATGCTAAGCGAGCACTTAGTAATTGTTGACTCCATTCTTTGAAAAATGACTCGTAGCTCAAATTTTGTGGCTCAAAAGTGGCTCAAATGGCCAAAACGACGTCGTTTTGGCCATTTTTATGTTGTTCTGTACTCAAAACGACGTCGTTTTGGCCATTTGAGCCACTTTTGAGCCACAAAATTTGAACTACGTAGCATTGTCGCCATTCTTTATAGGTGTAGATGGGCCGCAGGCATGATTGTTGGGCCAGGTTATTTTTGAGTGAATACTTAAAATAATGGGTAAATTATGCTCTTTGCCTACTTTATATTTACTTTTAATTGCAACTCTTAAATTTTGTTTTTTCTCATTTTGATCCTTCATATTACAAGTTTTTTTCATTTTATTCTTAAAATTAATTTTTATTAAAAATTAAATAGAAAATAATTCATTAAAAATCACGTAATATAAAAATATTTTATTATATATAACTCACACTTCTGATATAAACTTAAATTTTAAAATAATAATATATTTTTATGTTATGTGACAGTTATTATAACATTTTTTTTTGTCTAATTTTTTTCAAAAATTAACTTTAAAAGTAAAGTGAAAAAAATTTGAAATATGAAAGGTCAATATAAAAAAAAATAAATTTTAAAAATAAAAATGAGAAAGTCACCAAACATTAAATGGGCAAAGTGTAATTTACCCTTAAATAATAGAGTAATTTGGGCCCCCGTGTCTCTAATTTTTCTTTTTTTTTTGGTTGGATTACTATAAATTTATTTAATGGTCTATAACTTAAATGCTTATATATTTTATTGCATACCATATTTCATTTCATGAGAATACATGCAAGTTACGGTGAGGCAGACACTTAAAGCATCCACAATGGGATGGTTAAAATTGTTTGTTAAAGTGTGTTGCATGACAAAAAGTGATAAAATTAAGGCTAAAAAATGTGTGTTAAGGTGTGTTAAAAGTTTGTTAATTTTAGAGAGTGAGTAGTTGTGCAATGAATGTGTTAAGGAGTGTGTTAAGTAATATATAAATAAAAAAATAATAAAAAAAAGGCAAACATTGATAGCTTTTTCTTACTCTCTCACTTTCTCTCTCCTCTCCTCTCTCTCTTTCTCTTACCATCCGATCCAGTCACTACAGTGGGTGGATCCCACCACCACTTTACTCTCTTACTCTCTCTCTCTTCGCTCTCTCTCTCCGTTTGATGGCTAGAACCATTGTTAACTGTGACGAGCAAAATAATATCTGACACCATTTTTTGAGTTTAGCCAACTCCTTAACAGCTCCATTGGAGTTGAAAATAACTTCTTTCACTAGCTAAAATTTAAAGACTAACGCTAATATGTACACAAACAGCACCACTGTGAATGCTCTTAAGTAAATTCCACACTTTTTCAACTTACAATTATTTTTTAAAAAACTTTGAAATTAGACATGTTTCCCGATGCAAACTTGTTATATTACTTATTAAGAAAGAATAAGGTCAAAAAGGATATTTATCTATTAAAATATCGCATTTAGATTAATTATTTTTTACCTAATTAACATTTTGAAAATTGAGGCGTGACAACACCATATTTTCATTTCATACCATACTCAATTTAAGTATATTGAGTTTTCTTAATATACACTATTTATTCTCCAATAATACTAAAACACCCTCATTTTCACCAATTTCAAATTCTAATCCTAACTCAACCCTAACCCTAGCCACCATATGTTACTGTTGCTGTTACAACTATCTCTATCTCCTTAGCTCATTTGCAACCCTATTCTTAGCTATGTTGCTTCTGACACCTTTTTCTCTAGCCTAGTCACCCCTCATGCCATCCCAAATATCTCTACTGTTAAACTCTCTCTCTCTCTCTCTCTCTAGGGGTTATGCGTTAGAGAAGATTAAAGGAGTGCAAGGTTTAAGTATCACGGAGAATGGAAGGAATGATGATAATGGTCTTGGGCTAATAAGGGAACGAATGAGGCTAGGCAATGAGTGGTGGTAGGAGCGACAAGTTTGTGAAGGGAACAATGGCCCGATTATAAAGAGTGCGGTGGCTTATAGTGCTTAATAGTATGTTTGACGAATTAGATTTTAAAGATTTGTCAAAAAAAATAATTTAGTTGAGGGACATAATGGTAATTTAAAAAAATTAAGCCATGGCATGAATTGAGAGAAATGACACTGTGCAAATAAACTACTTGGACTTATGGAGTTATAATTTATAAGATGGGTTGTTACCTTCAATAAGTTTTCAAAATGGGATGAAACGCCAAATAGCCCCTTTTGAATTTTTTTCCCCAATTACAAATCCGTTCACAAATATTTAAAAATAAAAATAAAAATAAAAATAGTGATGATAAGTTCACTTTTATGAGTGTATATGACGTTAAATTCGGTGATTGATTTGTTTTGATTTTAAGGATATGGTAAAATATATTGGTGAGAAGTATAAATTATTATTAATGAATATGACTTTAAATTCAGTGATCGATTTGTTTTGATTTTAAAAATATGATAAAATATATTGGCGAGAAGTATAAATTATTATTCTAATGAATATATATATATATTTTTTAGTTTTACCTTTAAACTTTTTCTATTCTTACCCATTACTATCAACTGCCATTGGTTAGGCATCACTAGCACCGTTGACTTGCTGGAAATTCATTGTTACTTCAAAAGTCAATGACGATTGACGACAATACGGAGTTGATAAATAGACAAATAAGTAAACATATAGATAAATAGATAGATGAGAGTAACATAATCTTTCAGATTGTTATTATTTTTAGAATAATAGTAGGTATCATAAAAAAAAATCATAAAATGTATCATGAAAATTTTTTATCCTTTGATTAGTGTGTGATGTTTTATTGTACGTGTAATCCAAATGTAAAGAATTTTTTATAATCATCTTCATGCTATTTTTTCTATAATTCCTAGCATTAAACTAATTTTTATGAACAATAAGAGAATTGAGTTTGAGACAATTGCTCCAAAAATTTAAAATTTAAAATTTAAAATTTAAAATGTTGGCCTGAGTGCCCAAAATTAAGCACATTTCTTTTTGGATAAATTACACTTTTCACTCATATAATTTGACATAAATTTCACTTTGATTGTTATAATTTTATTTTGGATAATTTAGTCCCTATACTTTAACACTTCGTTTGGTTTGAATGATTTGGAGAGAAAAAAAATGAGATGGGGAGAATTGTAATTCAATCACATGTTTGGTGAGAAATAAGAAGAAATAGAGACAAACACGTTTATTCAGTAATCTCTATTTTCAATCTCTCCAAAAGGGGAGAGATTGTGAGAAAAATTAAACCAATCAAATATTATTATGTTATAATACCTAAACTACTTTTTTAGATATGGAACAAATTAAAAGATTAACATCTATAAAATGTTAATTTGCTAATATAACACATATATTTTCTTTTCTTTTATTTTATATAGCTTAACAAATAAGATAAGAGAGAAATCAATTTCTTTTCTCTCCACTCTATCCAAACAAAAAAGAAAGAAATTATAATATTTTCTTGTATTTTCTTTTGTCTCATAATTCACCTAATCATTTCTTTCCCTTTATCTCCTATGTTGCTAAACATAATGTAAATTCAGTTTTAATTTGATCATTTTATTCAATTTTTTTTGACAACTATCCTAAAATTATTAATTTTAACCTTCAATTAAAAGACAAAAGGGGTTGTTTGGCATCCCCTGCCCCTGCAATAGCCATCTTTTTACCATTTTATTTTTGTTAGGTTACATTATCTATCTATTTTTTTACATATTCTTTTCTAAAAAATTAAAAATTGTGCTTATTTAGATCATTTCAAACAATTCTTAAATTTAAATTGTAAAGATTAAATTATTTAATTTAAAATTAAATATATCATAATAAAATTTAAATTAAACTATAAGGATTAAATTTATATAATTTACTTTCATTTGTTCTTCAAATCAAAAGTATGAAATGAGAAGATGTATTTTAATCTTAAACACAACATTGTGCGCTACAACTTGGATACAGACTAGACTACCCTTTCAGCCTAATGTAAGACCGCCCAAAAAGAAAAAAGAAATGAAGAGAAAAAACCTAGTGTAATACCGCTAGTGGCTAAAATGCGCCAATAGGGACAAAAGCCTTCAACACAAGCCTCAACCGAAATCGTACGGTCGGGAACAGTAGATTTAACTATGCGCAATGTCGTAGCAGCGTACGTTAGGGAAATCCATTATCGATAGTCTAAATTGCGCAGATTGGAATGTCCCTCAAAACCTAGACACACAAGTTCAGCGCTCTCTCTGTCTCTCTCTTCTCTCTCTGTCTCTCATACACCTCGGTGGTTTTTGAAGGCAACCCAATACAGTCCTTTGGAGTCACAGGTTTTACTGTTCGTATCTTTCCTTAAATTCATGCTTCGAACTGTTATGTTTTCTTGATTTCTAACGTTAATGTAGTTTGAATCACACCAAACCCAATCAACAATTTCATCACAAATCTTCAACCTAGGGTTTCAAATTAACTATATATTACCCTGTGTAACTTCAAGTAACAATGTTATATGATTGAGTATTGTAGCTTTTGAAGCTTGGTTATTGTGTGGTTGTGTTGTTTTGAATCCTGGGTTGTTATGGGGGATGTGAAAATACCCAATTGGCTCAAAGGGTTGCCATTTGCACCTGAGTTTCGCCCAACTGACACTGAATTTGCAGACCCAATTGCTTACATATCGAAAATTGAGAAAGAAGCTAGTGTTTTTGGTATATGTAAGGTTATTCCACCATTGCCCAAACCTTCAAAAAAATATGTTATTTCTAACTTAAACAAGTCACTTTCAAAGAGCCCGGAGTTGGGTCCAGATATAAACGTAGCAGACGTTTCTTCTTCTTCGAAAATGGATTCTGGGAATGAGGCAAATGACGGGGAGGTTCGGGCAGTATTTACCACAAGACACCAAGAATTGGGTCAGAATGCAAAGAAAACTAAAGGAGCAGTTCAGGCTCAGCCACCGGTTGTTCATAAGCAAGTGTGGCAAAGTGGGGAAGTATATACGTTGGAGCAGTTTGAATCTAAGTCGAAGGCTTTTGCCCGGAGTCAATTGGGTATGGTTAAGGAGCATTCTCCATTAGTTATAGAAGCACTATTTTGGAAGGCAGCTACCGAGAAGCCTATATATGTGGAATATGCGAATGATGTGCCTGGCTCTGGGTTTGGAGAACCAGAGGGAACACTTCGGTATTTTCATAGACGGAGGAGGAGGAGATTATTCAGTCGAAACAGTCGAGTTAGCGCTTACAGCAAGAAATATCATGTAAATACTATGAGCAATAATTGTGAAAACACAGGGGCTTCAACCAAGAATAGTCCTAATTCTTTGAGTGAAACATCCAAGGTGTCTGTTAGTTTACCAATTATGTTGGCAAATCAAACTTCACAGATTTCTAAGCAAAAGATCTCAAATGCTTCTAATGAGGTGGAAGGTACTTCTGGTTGGAAGCTTTCAAACAGTCCTTGGAACTTACAAGTAATTGCACGGTCACCTGGCTCACTTACGCGTTTCATGCCAGATGATATTCCGGGTGTTACTTCACCCATGGTCTATATTGGTATGTTATTCAGTTGGTTTGCTTGGCATGTTGAAGATCACGAGCTTCACAGCTTGAATTTCCTCCACACTGGCTCTCCAAAGACTTGGTATGCAGTCCCAGGAGAATATGCATTTGCGTTTGAGGAAGTTGTTCGTAACCAGGCTTATGCAGGAAATTATGATCGCTTAGGTATGTAAAGCACTTTCAGTTATTGGCTTAACATTATTATGGGTATTGAGTGTGGTTTATGGTGCTGATAAATCTTATGTTATTTGCTTGTTGAATGTGTTCTTTGGTACCTAATGAAGATACTTAAAAAGCTGAAGTCTTAAATTTTATTAATTTGATAACTATGAAAAGAACTGCTGCTTCTGCAGAACAGGCCTGCCTTCTCTCTGCTGGCATTACCCCAGCTAGAATAACTGCATGTCCTCAAAGTCACTTGCTTCATGCACAAGTGTGCTAAGGCGTTGTTTCGACCTAATATGATGAGAAGGATTTGTAGCCACCTGGATGAATTTTGTAAGCTGTTGGGGATGAGCCACTGCAGAAGCAGCATTACTTTCATTTTCAAGACTTTTTAAACTTTCCATGTTGGCAAAATATTATGAACATTTTAAGCTCACATGTTTATCTGGTATGAAAATAGTTTTTTGCATGTTGTGTCATCATTGGAAACCTTTTTTTTTTTGGTGTGAACTACACATGACTGGCATATATTCTCTTGTTATATCCTCATCAATGCTGAAGCAATGGCAATATTAGTGGGCTTATTACTCTGCATTTGCTTGATAAGTAATTGAATGGTTTCAAATATAATCTACCAAAAGAAATAAATAAATAAATAAATAAATAAAGAACAGGAAGAAAAAGAGACTGGAAATATGATTTTTAATAGAAGGAAATGTAGAAGAAAAGTTTAACTACCTATTCATCATATAAGAATATCCATTACACATTATTCAAGTATTGTAGCAGATGCTGATAAATGATAATCATAGAATTTCTAGAAGATATTAAACAAGAGGATAAATTCCTGCTCAACCCAACCTAATTCACCATTATCAACCCATTCCATCATGTCCACCATCCCAATATCATTTATAATTGAAAAATTAGTTGAATAATCTATTGTGGAACTAAAGACAAATAATTTGGAGAAGATAGTCAAATTCCTAGGAGAGGGAAAATGAGAGAGATTGGGGTTGTCAATGGTGGTTAGTTTGGTTGTGATGATGGTATTTGTTTGTATCTGCTGATGAAGGATGTGCACACATTAAATTTCAATGGAGACCATACTTTATCTTTGTACAATTCTCTCCCTCTCTAGTTTGGTTAATGATGAAGGATGGGTTCTTCAAAGTAATTGGTGCTATTGCAATGAGAACACCTGTTATAGAATCTAGATCAGTACCACATTGGTTTACTAGAGTGGTAGCATATTCTTGGGAACTTCAAATTGATGAATAAAACATAAATGTAAATGGCCTGTTATAATATTAGATGGAGTTAGGTGGAGAAAGATATTTGTGGTGGGTGATGACTAATGACTTGTGAGGAGTGAGGACCTATGTTATATGGACTTTCTATGTTATTTGTGGCTGGTAATGACTAATAACTTGTGAGGATTGAGGACCTATATTATATGGGGTTTCTATATGTATAAAGTACCTGTGTCGGACAATCGACACTTGGGTAAGGTTTTGGATATGTGTCTGACATGTGAAGTTGGACATTCACCTATCAAATGGATTTAGCACCTATCAAATGGATTTAGCAATTTCGAGTCTAAGTTATGCATGAAATCTCTATGAGACCTTATGAATGCCGTTTTACCATAGAAAATAAAATAAAAATATTGAAAATATAAATATTTTGTTGTGTCGTCCTTTGACATGTGAATTAGATGAATCGGACGCATAGATTTAAGCTTGCACCTGACACCCATACAAAACCATGTAACATATATGAGGACCTATGTAGCTAGAAGTGTAGGATTTTGTATTACATAGACTAGGGTATGATATAAGTATCGGGTGTACTTTTGAGGGAGATAATATACCACTAAATTTCTTATCCTGTAACCAAGCAAAGGATATCGTGTTAGTGGATGGGACTAGAGGAGTTAACATTAAGTTGGAGACTTGGAGAGAAGCACTTGAATCTAAAGTTTAGGATAAGCAAAACGAAGACTGAGTGCATGGAGTGTAATTTTAGTAATAGTAACAATGGAAACAGGGGAAAAGTCAAGTTTGAAAACCAAGAACTACCTAAGAGTGACGATTTTCGTTATTTAGGATCGATTATCACAACGGCTAGGGAGATTGTAGCAGATGTGGTCTATAGAATTAAGGCGGGGTGGCTTAAGTGGAGGAGTGCGTATGGAGTATTGTGCACCATCAGACTAAATGGAAAGTTCTATAGAATAACTATAAGGCCAATTATGTTGTATGGGACGGAATGTTGCGCAACTAAGAAAAAACATGTAGATAAGATGAGTGTTATTAAGATGAGAAAGGATTGAGGACCTATATTATATGGGGTTTCTATATGTATAAAGTACCTGTGTCGGACAATCGACACTTGGGTAAGGTTTTGGATATGTGTCTGACATGTGAAGTTGGACATTCACCTATCAAATGGATTTAGCACCTATCAAATGGATTTAGCAATTTCGAGTCTAAGTTATGCATGAAATCTCTATGAGACCTTATGAATGCCGTTTTACCATAGAAAATAAAATAAAAATATTGAAAATATAAATATTTTGTTGTGTCGTCCTTTGACATGTGAATTAGATGAATCGGACGCATAGATTTAAGCTTGCACCTGACACCCATACAAAACCATGTAACATATATGAGGACCTATGTAGCTAGAAGTGTAGGATTTTGTATTACATAGACTAGGGTATGATACAAGTATCGGGTGTACTTTTGAGGGAGATAATATACCACTAAATTTCTTATCCTGTAACCAAGCAAAGGATATCGTGTTAGTGGATGAGACTAGAGGAGTTAACATTAAGTTGGAGACTTAGAGAGAAGCACTTGAATCTAAAGTTTAGGATAAGCAAAACTAAGACTGAGTGTATGGAGTGTAATTTTAGTAATAGTAACAATGGAAGTAGGGGAAAAGTTAAGTTTGAAAACCAAGAACTACCTAAGAGTGACGATTTTCGTTATTTAGGATCGATTATCACAACGGCTAGAAAGATTGTAGCAGATGTGGTCTATAAAATTAAGGCGGGGTGGCTTAAGTGGAGGAGTGTGTATGGAGCTATGAAGCACGGATACTTCAAATAAGGTGACGTATCCGTATCGTATCCGTTTCGGATACCGATACTCCTTGGATACTCGCGGATACGTATCGGATACTTATTAAAAGTATCGGATATTTATTAATTATTTTTTCATTAATTTTGAAGTATCGGATACTCTAAGTCATGTTTACTTGTTTTATGAAATTAGAATTGTAACATTTTTTGCATAGTAATATAATATAATATAATTGCAAGTATAAATATAAGAATATTTTTCTAATACTTTGTTAAGTTCTTCGATAAGAAGAGCATAGTGAGTTAAATAATAGAATTTATCAAATTGATGTATCCTAATTATTTTATGTATGTCCTTATATAACTACATAGAAAGTAAGAATTAATAAGAGAATATAACAATGGTAAAATTAAATATCAATATATAAATAAGCAAGTAAATTTGAATACAATATTTTTCACTAATGTCAAAGGAAAAAGCATAGGGACAAGTTGTGAATTGTTCTATTATTGTAATATAAATATATTAAATTTGATATTGAAATGAAATATTTGCAAGGCCTATTAAAAATTTAAAAAGTAAATAAGCTACTAACTTAAATTAATACAAAATTCTTGAATGTTAGTATTTTGCATTATAAAATTACATTGTGGTTTCTCAACGTTCTTCAGCTTATGTGTAACTCACTATTAATAATTTTAAATAATATATTTTTTACAAACGTATCCTGGGTGTACCAGTATCCTAACTTTTTAGGTTTTGTCGTATCGCCGTATCCGTATCGTGTCGTATCCGTATCTCGTATCCGTATCTATGCTTCCTAGGTATGGAGTATTGTGCACCATTAGACTAAATGGAAAGTTCTATAGAATAACTATTAGGCCAATTATGTTGTATGGGACGGAATGTTGCGCAACTAAGAAAAAACATGTAGATAAGATGAGTGTTGTTAAGATGAGAATGCTAAGGTAAATATGTGGCAAGATTAGAAAAGATAGAGTTAGGAATAAATATATTCTAGCTTAAAAGCTCATTAGTATGGTTGTTGCTCAGGCAAGAGCTCCAAAATGAATGAAGTAAAGTATGAAAATGCCAATGCATGGCTCACAACTATGTTAAATGGACTCGGTTACGGGTGTTAGGTGCGGGTATGTATCTAGAGGTCGGACTGGTCAAACTATAAATTTAAGAGTAATTAGATTCGGTAAAAAAAAATCATATTTTTATATTTTTGATTAATCTAAGTAACAAAATGGTGTTATATGTAACTTACATTGTCAAAAAGACATTTCTAGCAATTATACAACAATATGCACATGTAATAATAGTGTTATATACAATTATATAAGAAGTGTCCGTTGCAAAATATCTGACACATATCCCATACCCTTCTCCGAGTGTCGGATGTCCGACACGGATATTTAATTTATTTTGAAGAGTCTGTGTAAAATAGGCTCACAACATATATGTGGTGGTGCGAAACTCATCCACTCAACCATAGTCTTCAACACTCTGGCTCTTGAGCACCAAGGTTTGCCCAGTGCTTCCACTCCAATGGTCCTTCAAACCTCATTCCTGTACAGAACGCTCGAGATGATCACCTCCTTTGCTTAGTCACCTTTTCATTGCAGTATAGCTTGGCTCTTGGCTTGCCTTTGTCTCCCCTATGCACTCCGTCCCTAACTTGGGATCACTCAGCTCGCTACTATCACAACCATCACTTAGCAACCTAGGCTGGGAGTATGGAGTAGGGCCTAGGCATTCATTGCTCGAGATCATCGTAGGATTGTGGATTGGAGGTTAGGATCATAGATTTGTCAAGGTTTCTTAGTTGTATTCCTTGGGAAGATAGCTCCTCCTTGACCAGTCTTAGAGAGAGAGAGAGGGAGAGAGAGAGAGAGAGAGGACGTTGACCTTACACTCATGCTTGCTGCATGCTATGATACACCTCCTAAGGTATCATACCTATCTCTGCAGCTCCTATGATGTAGCCTTCCCAGTCTGAAATCATAAGACACAATAGTAGGGCTGATATCACCACTCTAGCGAGTTGAGAAGAACTCACCACCCATCCATAGGTGGCTTGGGTTCTAATACTTGTGGAGTTCATAAAAGGGTATCATATATGCTGCCACACAATAAAACAACATTTGCATAACTTACGCATAACAGCCCCATAATTCAAGTGTTCAAGGTCTCTCACTGCTATTCTCTCTTCCTCTAAGGGTGCCTTGGTGATGCAGGATTGTGCTGTGAGGACTTTAAAACTGGATTTCTGTTGGGTTTTATTGTGGTTCAAAGCTGAAAATCAGTGAGAATTTTAGGGTTTCAATTAATGAATGGAATGAACTAGGTTTTGGATTGATAAATTAGAGAAAAGGGATCAAACAGGGGCTGTTTAAGAGCTGTGAACAGTAGCTCGTGTACAATAAACTAGTGTTGCATCACACAAATCCACAAGAGGCTTTAAAACTCAAAATTCTCTAAAATATAAACTCTATTAAGCATTACATGACTTTCTATAGACTTTAAAGACTTCCTTTACCAACTAGGATTCTAAAATAGGAAACTATTAAAACTGACTTAAAAAATCGATTTAAGACCAAATAAAAAACATAAATAAAACCAATTAAATAACTTGACCTACAAGACAATCCATGGGTGACCGCAAAACTCATATCCAAAAATTTTGCAAATTACCAAACTACCCCTAACCTTAAAATTGATCAACAACTTTCTTAATCTAAAATAAACATAAATAAGACTCTTCTAAGACTAGAAATATAATTATAGATGATTCCAATTTTCTCAATTGAGTTTGACTTGAAACCAAGCAATTTCCAAACATGAATGCTTCCTTAATTTTGGTTTTCCTTGCTCTTGTTGTGGACTCTTTCACTTGGTCTTCTCCTCTTCTGCCTCTAGTGATCTTTAGCCATTGAAGTGCCCATCATCTTTCCAGAGGTCCACAACCAACCACCTCTTATACCTAACACCTACAAGTGTATATGCCCCTTTTTTTGTTTAGGTTATCATGGTCTGAACTTTTGTACTTGGGTGACATCCCCTTTTGATGCCTTCTTTATATAGTTTGCTTTACTTGTCAAAGAAAAAAAGAAAATAGAAAATAAAAACAAGGAAAGACATGTTCATATGTCTAAAAAGAAGTGACAGACCTTTTCTAAAGGCATAGAGAAAAGGTGATATCAAGAGAAACATACCCTTATCCTGTGGTTTGGGCTCAAAGGAGTGAGACCATAACAAACAAATTTTTATGATATCCACTTTAAATTTCAAGTCGCATATCATATAAAAAAAATACAAATTGTATAACTGCAATGCTTTGAATCACATATCACTATCCTTTCAAGCTGACTCATTCAATCTTCTTTTTGGTACATAAATGTAAAATTAGCTTTCAAATTTCATTGTACTGTGTTATACCACTTTTAAGCTAGTGAAAATGTTGCAACCAGAATTTCTTGTCCTTTCTCTTTTAAATTTCTTCGTCATCTTCATTTTTTTTTTTTTGTGAAGGAAAAAAATTGTGATAATTGATGTATCATGCAAAATATGTTCAATTGTGGGAGAAAGACTGATTGAGCAATTTGGCCTGCTTTTTGCATGTGTTTACATTCAAATGAGATTTTAAACCTTAAAAGTTTGTTGGCAATCCTTGGGTAATTGCACCAAGTGCACTAGCAATCGTCTTTAGGTTTTAATTGACAAACATAATTTAAAGGTTGTCTGTATTATCATTATCTATTTACATAATTTCAGGTTTAATATTTGCATTTGGAAGATGTTAATTTCTCTCTCTCTTTCTCTCTCTCTCTAAGGTAGTTGATAAGGACCTGTTTTTGAGATTGCTACAAGTGTAGATGGAGTATAGACCTGAACTTTGGTTTTATTGTGCAAAGTGGAACTCTCAGACTCATTTCTATTTTTGTTGATTTACTTGATGAGGGTGAAAACTACCAGAATTTGTGGTTCCCTTATAGGCCTTTAAGATTTTAGGATACTATTTTTGTGTGAAGATGGTTAATAGTTTTAAGTAAATTTGCATTTTTTTATGATAGAAATAATAGTGACTCCCATATTTTTTTAAAATTTTACATTGATTTTGAATTTATACTTGGCTAAAAGCTGATTTGACCAATTTGAAAGTTGTTTGATGTTTGGCTCTTTATCAACTTGTTTTTACAGAAAATATCTTTCAATGTGAATTTTGTAGGAAATTATTTCTATTGCATATTATAACCTATGTCTTCTTTTCTTTTCTTTTTTCTTTTTGCAGCTGCTCTTTCACTTTTGGGTGAGAAGACTACTCTTCTATCACCTGAAGTTGTTGTTGAGTCTGGCATTCCATGTTGCAGGTGGGTTACTTCTCGTAACGCATCATCTTTGGTTCTTCCTATTGTTGTCATCCCTCCCCTTCAGCTCATGAATGGGATTATGTTATTGTAATTAATACTATTTTAGGTAGACTTGTTGAGCTGGGTTGGGATATGATTTCTCTTTCTTATTGTTTTACTGAAATTCTTATAACATCTATTCTGGTTTGATTTCTTCAGGTTAGTGCAGAACCCTGGTGAATTTGTTGTGACTTTTCCAAGGGCTTACCATGTTGGATTCAGCCATGGTAATTGCTTTGCAGTTTGTTTCTACGATTGTTATTGTGTCCTTGACTAAATAGCTCTGACTAGTATAAACTCCAATCCAGCCTTTGGTGCCTTGAGAAATTAAATATTATTTGAAGGCTGAAATTAGAATATACCAGTATGACTTATTTTAACAGATTGTGTCATTTGTCATTTGTGGAATAGCAGTGATGATATCGAAGGAACAATAAAGGATACAACCTCTCTTGACGAGCCAACGTTCTTTGATCCATAATTGCTCTAGAAAAACTTCATTATCCAAGTCTAGTTTGTACTCGAGTTGCTTAGTTGTCTATTTCTTTATGTAACGTAGGTCGTCATTGATATGATGATGTATCGCCTATAAGCATGTATTGCCAGAATGCTGAAAGAAAGTGATAGTTTTTACATATTTTATATTGCCAGATTGATACGCAGCTGACAGCAAGTGATCTGAAACATTTTCCGTTTGAATGCTGAACTTTTAAATCTGGAACAGAAGCCATAAGATAAAAAGGGCATAATTTTAAATGCTGTTGTTCATTAGAGAGAGATGTTTCCTGTTATGCAAATAATTTCTGAACATAATTTACTTCTACCATGATTAAATGAAAGCAGTATTGTGCTTGCTGCTGTGTTTTACTAGCTTTATAGTCTTTGTTGTTTATCGTTAACATCTATTAACAATATTCATAATGGACATGCTTATTTGTGCTTCAAAAATCTCTCCTTTTGTATTTGTGCATATCATTTTTTTGGATAAATTTTTGGGGTTGTTCATGCTATGGAAAGTTTAGTTGATTCCTTTATTTTTTCTCTTCTTTAAAAAAATTCTGATGGGATTCATTTTGGCAATCTAGGTTTTAATTGTGGGGAAGCTGCTAACTTCGGCACTTCAAAGTGGCTTAAAGTAGCTAAGGAAGCTGCAGTGCGTAGAGCTGCTATGAATTATCTCCCCATGCTTTCCCATCAGCAACTACTATACCTGTTGACAATGTCTTTCATTTCAAGGTCAGTTTATAGTCTCTTTATTTTCTTTGTTTCAGATTTTCTATCAATCCTAAGCCATTGGGTAAATTAATGCTTGAAGTAAATCTTTTAGTTGTTGCTCCAGAAGTATGCTCAATGAAAATTTTTAACTTCATATAGTCGTGATTCTTGTAAGATAGATTGGAATCAAAGTAAGTATTCTGACAGAACAATAATAGGAACTCTTAGTAAACATTATTTACAAACTCTCGAGAAAAATAAATATTGGCTTCTTGAATCTGGTGGTTTCTCTTTCAAGTCCTACTCTTTGATGATTGGTTCCACCCCCTTCATTTCCTTCCATTTCCTCTATTTTGATTGAGAGCTTCAAATTGCTCCCAAAGGCAAAAGCTTCATTGTGTATGGTTGTGAATTGAAATGCCAAAATTCATGACTCGCTTCAAGATAGGAGACTCAACAGAGCTTTATCTTCTAGTGCGTTTTATGTGGGATGGATAGTACGAACGTTTGAGCTGTTTTACAGGCTTCAGTGGTTTTTAATTTATGGTAGAGTATGTTTGGGTTTGTAGACATATATAATTTTGCCAATTTCGGATTGCGACAAGTTCCATGACGTTATACTAAAAATTGCCACATGTAATGGGTGAATTGCATGATGCCACATGTTTAAACATTGCATTTTTCCAAATTGACAATTCCTGGGCTAATTAAATTAAGCCACTTGTCATATTGGTCTGGTAAAAATGGAAATTAAATATTTCCTCTATTCAAATTTGACTGCATGTCTTTAGATAAATATTGATTTTTATCTCTTCAAAAAATAACTAAATCAATTATCTTGTAGCTAGGGTCTTATCATGACTCTCACTCACCCTATAACTATAAATAGGGGTAAGCTCGCACACAATTATAGATACACAAATCAAGAGGAAAAAAACTCCATCAGATTGAAGCCTCTAATGCTCCCAAAGACTTTCTCATCTAAACTTTAGATCTCAAGGCAATTATTTTATGAATTGTGACAAAACTTCATCAATACAATACAAATTTATCTTCTTTGCACACGTTGGAGAAGGTTTCATTGTTCGATTCAGGAACACAGTGTCCAACCTTCAAGTTAGTGTTCTTTAGAAGAATTTCTTTGTGAAAGAATACTCTAAAGATTGTACTTTCTTTGTTGTTAAATTAATAAATTAAAATTTTGGGGAAATTACCAAAAAAAAAAAAAATTCTCAACGTTCGACTCTTGGAACGAATCAAATCCTGAAATTTTTAATTTCTTCAATTTAAACCTTGAACTTCCAAACTGGTCTCAATTTAAACTATCCGTCTATCTCCTTCCTGTTAAAGCCATTAACAAAATATTATTATTATTATTTTTTTCCCAACGTGTGCCAATATCTCGTTCTTTTTCAAAATTTAAATCAATCTCAAGTTTAACTTAGCTACACCTAATCACAACTACTCATATAAATCATCCTAATCACCCACCTCAAAACTACCATACACGTCATTACACTTGATTGGCCCTCTCTCCCTTTCAACCAGCACTCCGTCGTCTTCCACCACATCCTCTTACCCACAACCGCTGCCTATAAGCATGTATTGCCACTGAAAATTGAAAGTGAACTTTTTATCAACAACTGTTGACGTTTGCCTAGATGAAGATTTTATGGAAAACTCCAGTTAAAATCTTAATCTAAAGGATCAATTTGGGTGCATAATAAGTAACTGAAGTTAGGAAATTCAAGATGGCAATGTTATGGAGAAATCTAGAATTTGAGGTCTGTAATTGCCGATACCTTCTTCAAGATCTAGTTTAGGATCATACAAGTTTGATATGGGTGGCAGCTTTCTGGGAATCAAGGGAGCTGCTGGTGGTGGACCGTGGTAGAGCAAGATTTATAGTGTATATATAATGTATGTATGTATGTATAATTATTGTGGGTAATTTGATGGATTTATACATGCATTCTTTGCACCTCTTCCTAGAAAATAATTACTCAATTTGTACCCTTGGCTGCTGGGAATAAACTTGCTCTTGCTCCCTACATTCTAGGGCATGTCTATAGGGCATGCTTTTACTTTTGTGAGAGGCCCCTTGACCCTAATCAAGGTGGTCCAATTTGGATTCTTCAACTATGGCTTTTGGCCTACTCCCCTAACTTTCAAACCAGATACCTTGAGTATCATGAGAACATAGAACCCAGAACCAATGGGGAAAAATATGCCTGGGTCAATCTCTTCTCTTAGGAATCAGGCGAGCTGTTGGTGGTGGATCATGGAGGAGGAAGGTTTAGAGTGTATATATAATGTATGTATGTGTATGTATATGTATAATTATTGTGGGTGAATTGATAGATTTATCCTTCTCTGTTAATAACTTTTAACAGAAGTTGATGGATAGTTTAAATTGGGATTAGTCTTAAAGTTTAGGGTTTAAATTGAACAAATTGAAAACTCGGGGTTTGATTTGTTACAAGAGTCAAACCTTAGGTTTTTTTTTTCTTTATAATATATAGTAATTTTCCTTAAAATTTTCCACTATTTTGTGTCTTTATTTTGAACATAAGAAATTTGTGTGAAACAACTTGGTGGGCTTCAACTGCGAGACACATTTCTTCTTTATTTTAGTGCATGTTTTGAACTTCCTTGTTTTAGCAATCTGTTACCTCATCATCTTTTTGGTGCATTTGCGTGATATCGACTTCCTTCGGAGAAACAAAAAATAAAAAATCTTATGGGCTCTACGATCAAATAGTCTCAAGTACAGGTGCTAGGTGCAAGCATCTAGAGGTTAGACCTATCAAACCGAAACTTTAAGGGTACGCAGACGTTGTAAAAAATGTTTATATTTTTATATTTTTAATCTATTAGATGAGATCAAATGGTGTCATATGCAAGATATAGTGTTAAAAAGACATTTAATATCAATTTTACAATAATATATATTCCCCCCGTCACAAAATAATGGTCCCTTTTGGGGAATCTAACTTTTTTTGATAGTACATTTATTGCACTTTAAAAAAAAATGATTTTTCAAAATTACCCTTTGATAGTACATTTTTTGGGGAATATCAATGTCATAATTGTATTTTTTATGTTGTTAATGAATTTAAAAGAAGGGCAAAATAGGAAATTTATATTGTTTTTGTCATTGATTTTTGAAAATGGACTAATAGTTTGGGACAATGAAAAATGGAATAAGGGACTAATATTTTGGGACGGAGGGAGCACATAAAATGATAGTATTAAATACAAATATGTAAGAATTGTGATGGAATGCATCGGACACATGTCCCACACGGGGTATTTGATTTATTTTGAATAGTTCATGTAACATATTTTATTGTAAGGCATTAAGGAGGGGCTTTCCTCATCTGCACCTTACCAGAAGACTAGAAAAAGGTTCAGAATTTACTGCCTAAGGCCGAAGATAAGTTGAATTTTTTGGTTTCTCTAAAGGGGAATCCCGTTATCATTGTGATTAGGTATTTTCATGTGGAGACTCTTCCTTATTTTTCCTATTCCTTGTGTATGGGTTGCTTTTTGTTAGGCTTAAAATTGAGGCTGAGGCTTTGTTCAGGTTACTCAAATATCATAAAGTCATTGCTTGCAGGGCATCATTGCCCATTGTATTTTCTCTAGTATCGTTTCTTGGACTGGTCATACTAATTGGGGAAAGTTGCTCTTATTATTTTTAAATGTGAAACGTACCTCCAAGATAGGGACGCCATTAAGTGCATAGATCATCTAATGGTATGACTATGATGAAACCTTGTCAGTTTGAAATTTTAATTGATCATTATTTGCTGTCTTGATGCTTCTTTTTTTTTTTTTTTTTTTTTTTTTTTTTTTTTTTTTTTTATAATTTTGGTTATCCGTTCTGTTTTTTACGTTTTTGCCCATTGTATTTTACGTTTTTATGTTTCTGGTCATACTAATGGCTCTTTGTTCCTGTAGTTCTTTACTAATAACATCTGATTTCTCATTGAACAAGGGAATTCCAAAACAAATGGTTTTTCATTAAACAACAGAATACCAAAAAATGAAAATAAGAGTAGAAGTTAAAGCACCACATTCAAACTAAGTAGGATGTGAAGATTTTAGGCAAAATTAGGACCAAGTCAAGGTCATAGCACATCAAGGCAGATATGAATTAGTTTTATGCTATTACATCAGTAATCCATATAAAGCACATCAAACTTGAATAGAAAACTTAGGGCTGTGTTTAGAAGAGTCTCTGAAAACAGTTTTCTGTTCTCACACTGACAGAAACTAGAAGGACAAAAAAGCATTTAGTTTAATTCTTAAATTTGTTTTCAGAGAACTGATAAAAGAACCATTTTCAGGGAACATCAGAATGTTATTTTATATTTTCTGTTTTTTGTTCTCTAGTCAGGAATGCTAAAAAAAACTAAAAAAGTGTCTTAGAAATTCTTAAATTATTGGAAAACATGTTTCGGAGAACTATATTTTGGAAAACATAGCCAGCCAGGCCCTAAGCTTTTCATGGAAAATACTTGATAAATTATCTTCTTGAACGAATGGAAACCTGAATCAAAAGAAAATAGATATGGATTTCCATCTGAGAAGCGCTTTTGTTACCCAAGATTTAGTTGATGTCTTATAAGTTAGGCAGTCATGTTTTTTTTATAGATTTTGAAGTGTTTTTTGGTCAGAAACTTTCAGGGTTTAATTACTACTACAGTTGTCATGATCTAGTGATCTTGCTTTGGTGCATTTGACTAGTATTAAAAAGTTGAGACATATTATGTTTCCTTACAAATTGTGACATCATAGCTGGCCCTCTAATTGTAAGAGATATTTTCACTTGTTGAGTTCTGTTAACTTATACTATTGTGCTGTTGTAGATTGTTTATTATTTATTTGAATTATTTTTTATTGTTAATATGGATATCAAAGGGACTCATAATAGTTGTTTATATCTCACGTTTGGTATGCTGGAATTGTTTTGGATGCCAGAATCCCAAGATCCTTATTGCCAGGGGCACGAAGCTCACGTTTGAGAGATCGCCAGAGGGAAGAAAGAGAGCTGTCAGTGAAGAAGGCTTTTATAGAAGATATTTTAGGCGAGAACAATTTGCTAACCAGTCTTCTTGGAAAAAAATCATCTTATCATGTAGTCTTATGGGACCTGGAATCACTACCATCTCCAAGTAAACAGTCTGAACCGTGCAGCAGTGTTGCCGTGTTTGTTCCTCCACCAAGTGAAGACATCTGTTCAGAGATTAAGGAAAAACAGGATCTGCTAAGCGAGATGAGCTTGTATATGGAAACTGTGAACGACTTGTATTTGGATGATGATGATTTATCATGTGACTTTCAAGTTGATTCGGGGACATTAGCATGTGTGGCTTGTGGGATTCTGGGCTTTCCATTTATGTCCGTGGTGCAACCTTCTGAGAAAGCATCAATGGAGCTTCTGCATGATTTAGGAGTGTCAAAACACATAGAGTCTCATTCCCCTCTAGTCCTTGATGACATGGTTGATGTTTTTGTTTCAGGTATATATATGGTCACAACTGTCTTGTCTAAAGTTTTTGTTATATTCTTTTCGAGTCTTTTTACTGTCTCTTTTTCTTGTTTTTTTCCATGGCTATTCATATTCTGGCTAATTAACTTAACAACTTAACTTTGATGTCACCACGGGGATAGCATAGCAGAAAAAAATGGAGATTTTCCATTGAATCTGTGACATTCCCTGGCCTATACTTGAAATTGAAATTCTTTTAGTTCAGTAATTTTATAAGATGATGTCTGAAAAAATGTTGTAGAAAGTGCATAAGCTTTTAACTAGCCAAATAAGTATCAGGGAAAAAGTAGTTTGGTATGCAGGTGCTGTTATGGAGCTGCGTTTGGCCTACCATATTTACTGCCATCTTTCTTTCTTTTTTGTTTTTGCTGAGCCTTTTCTTCATCTGTGGAGCTATTTTCATTTTACCAAGTTGTTTTCACTTTTAAAGAAAGTGGGAACGTATCATATTTCTTCTCTTTTGCAGATGGACTGAAGGACGAATGTAAAGCTCTACAGAGACAAAAATCTTCAGAACATAACTGCCATATCCCAACAAGCAGAGCTTCAAAGTGTGAGAGAGAGTTAAAGTTGACAAAGGATGACGAAAAATCCTCAGCTGATGCTAACAGTTTCCCTTCAGATGCAATTGAAAAGATTGAAAGGAATGAGAGAAATTTACTTCACAATCCTAACGGTGCATCTTCAAGTGCCAAATCGATTGAATCTGTGATTTGTTCCTCAGAGGATCTATCTGCCGTTCCTGATTTTTCTCCACCGCTGAAGGATTTGCCAGTTTCTTCAGAAGCCAAGTTTGACAAGGGTTGGAGTGCTACGAGGGGATTTCTGAGACCACGGATATTCTGTCTAGAACATGCAATTCAAATTGAGGAGCTTTTGCGTTCCAAAGGTGGAGCAAATGTCCTCGTAATTTGTCATTCAGGTAAGGATAGTGCATAAAACAATCCAACATGTGAGGCTATTAGTGCTCTTATTGGGTTTTTCCCATTCTAGTTTTGAAAAGTCAAAAGAGAAAATGCATATGCTTGATACATGAAAAGCCTTCTCTTTTTTCGGGGGGGGGGGGGGGGGGGGGGGGGGGGGGGGGGGGGGGGGTTGGCTATAGAAAATGATGTCAATTGATCATGAATTTATTTAAATTTTTGACAGCCAGCCTTTTTTTGAGCATATATATCACCTTATAACAACAAGCCATTTATGTATAAAATAATAATAAAAATAATTAGAGAAAAAGCAAGGACCACCATCTGTATAAAAAGAAAACAAAACCAAATTAGAGGTTATAATTTATTAGCAGTATAAAATATACTTGCCAAAAAATAGTAGTATAAACTATTAATATTGTATTGTTTTGTATTCTAATATAATAGCAACGATAATGAATATGATTATGATAATAACAGTAAGGCTGTGTTTGGTTGGGGATTTGGAAAGGGAAAGGGAAAATGTAGGTGAAATGTGAATAAAATATACCTACATTTCATCTAGTTTTACACACTTTTTCATTTTTCTTTCCAAATCACTCCCTAAATCTCCCAACCAAACACAGCCTAAAAGTTACAGTAATGAAGATGATGGTATCAAAACAACAATAATTTCGGTAAAAGCTATATTGCATCTTTGTTCTCCTTATGGTCAATTTGTTTGCATTAATTTACCGATTTTTTGATTTGTGCAGACTTTCAAAAAATAAAGGCACATGCAGCAGCCATTGCGGAGGAGATTGGTAGTCCTTTTGGTTATAATGAAATTCCACTAGATAACGCATCCCAGGAAGATTTGAACTTGATTGATCTCGCAATTGATGACGAAGAACACGATGAATGTGGAAAAGACTGGACCTCAAAATTAAGTATCAACTTACGGCACTGTGTGAAGGTCAGAAAAAATTCTCCGTCTAAGCAAGAGCAGCATGCATTGGTATTGGACGGGTTGTTCTCCAACATAACTCCCAGTTCCAACACCTTTAATATTAAGTGGCCATCCCGAAAATCTCGGTCAAAACGGAACTTAAATCTTAAGAAACCATCTGAGAGCATTCAACTGCAGAATCCCGTCCAGATGAAACTATCAGGAAGCATTCAAATAGAGAAAGATGATGTGTTGGGAGCAAAGTCTGATGGAGGCACGGTTAGAAAAGAAGGTAAACTTAATCAATATTCAAGAAGAAACTTCAAGTCGAAGCCTGGTGGCTCGGCCACGGCAACAAAGACCTTTGGACACTCTTCGAAGTATGTGCAAAATGAAGTTTCAGTTGCTGATTGTGGCAATCTAGACAAGTATAGCAAGAATGTATGTCAGAATATCCTTTTTCACATTGACAATACAGGAAAGAACTCCTCAGGTTTGACTGTCTTAGGTTCTAATGAAAACCCTGGATTAACAATCAGGGACCTCAGTGAGAATTCTGTTCCATCACAAGTTGCAGATTTGCCTCTTGCAGCGGCGACTCCAGGGGTTGAAAATGTTGAGGCACAGATTGATGACAATTGTGGGAAGGAAATAATCATGAAGGGCAAAGCTTGCGATTCAACATCAGGGGGTGGTTCGGAGATGCAACATGAGATTGAGGTTGACGAAGGAAATAAGGAAAATGACAAACTCTATGCTGAAAAATCTGGTGGTTCTCTCTCCATTGCTGTTGAAAGTACTGAAAATTGTGAAACTCAGAGAGAGAATCAAATTACGGAGGAAATCAGCTTGACAAAGGTGGCTTGCGATCTGGTGACTATTTCTGACGAACAATGCAATATTCAGTCTAGTGGAGGTGTTTTGACGAAAGAGGCTTCTGATCTTGTTAACTCTGTGCCTTCATGTGCCAATGGCCCTGTTGTGGGGAGTTCCGATGCACAGAGGGAGCAAAACATGGTAGATAATATTCACGCGAGTGCTGAGGCAATTGATTCTGTAATACAGGAAAAGATTGAGAGTGTAAATAGAAGCAAGGAGAAGGAACCTGTTTTAAGTAATGTTGAACCATTAAGTCGATCTGTTGAGGAAATGCACAGCGATAATGAGAATTGTTCTGTCCCTGAAAAGAGAGTGCTGGAAAACGCTGACTCCACCGTGGTGTGCGCAAAGTCAACTGCAAGAAACGGAAGGAAAAGGCGAAGAGAAGTTGAAGCTGATTTGAGTTGCTTTATTAGGGGTCCATGCGAAGGGCTAAGGCCAAGGGCTGCGAAAGAAGCGAAAAGAGGCGAAATTGATGACAGTAACAAAATGTTTGAGGAGAAACCAACATTGAAAAAGACAAGAAAATCTTCAGATGGTGTGGTTTCTCTGAAGGACAAGAAAGAGAAGAATGGAAAGGGGTCCCACAGGTGTGACCTAGAGGGCTGCCGAATGAGTTTTGAGACGAAAGCGGATCTACTCTTGCATAAACGTAATCGGTGTCCACACGAAGGGTGCGGAAAGAGATTCAGCTCCCACAAATACGCGATGCTTCATCAACGTGTTCATGATGACGATAGGCCCCTCAAGTGCCCGTGGAAGGGTTGCACCATGTCATTCAAATGGGCATGGGCTAGGACTGAGCATTTACGGGTGCACACTGGGGAGCGACCTTACCAGTGCAAGGTTGAAGGTTGTGGTCTGACTTTCAGATTTGTATCGGATTATAGCCGGCACAGACGAAAGACCGGACATTACGTGAACTTACCAACCTGACATTGTTGTTCTAGCCCTATAGCCAGGTTGGTTTTGTAATTTTATGGGGTATAACAAGGATTGGGAATTCTGGGGGCAGAACATGTCTCGGAAACAAACGTGTAAAGTTGGATTTGATGATTTTTGAGTATAGGTTAGGCGTAGACAGTCACTTTGCTTAGGTAGGTATTCTCAATTATCTGTATTGCACTGTCAGTTGATAACCCTTTTGGGTTTTTGGGTTTTTCATTTTTGAATAATTCTAATTGCACCGAATCTAATCTCAAAATTAGACACAACACTCTCACATGTGGTGGGACCTGTTAAATGTGTGGGTCGCACTCTTATGTTAAAAGGGTTAAGTGTCCAGTTCTGTGATCGGATTTCATGTGGGTAGAGGAATTGTTTTCATTTTGAACTTTTATTTGCATGTAGTAGATCACGGTAGACCAAAGTTCCCTAATATTTTCAAGTCGAATAAACTTTATGGTGGGTGAGGTGAGGTGTTCATAACAATAATATTACGGATACAGAATTAACTACTGAACAGTTGGCGCAATGAGTAGAATAACATCAGGAGCGGATCTCACTGTCTAATATGTATATGGTTAGAATTATTTTCTATAGTTGATTTTTTTTAAATTGTTGGTTGTGTAAAGACTCATCATTAAATTATTGAATCGACCCAGTCAATAAGAATCGCTTAGATTACTCCCAATTATGGAAGTCATAGACTTGAGAAGTTCCCAAAGAATCATAATAATCGAGTCTTCCACTCACTCACTTAACGCAAAATTTGGTTGGAGAATTTGGGAAGCGACTTGAAAAGAAAAAAGAAAAAAAGTAGGTAAAATGTGAATAAAATATATTTATATTTTACTTAATTTCATACACTTTTTCTTTTTTCCTTTTCAAACTCCTTCCCAAATTTCCCAACCAAATACGGCGTCAGTTTAAGTTGAACATATTTATTTTGTATTAGTCGTTCTTATTGGTTTGAAAAATTATGATAGTGTGTCATATAATGATTCTAGTTTAGACCTGACTCATTTATTGCTTTTGGATCGAAAAACCCGTGTGTGTAACTGTTGTTCAGTCCATTTCCATCTTATTATTTGTTGAGTTTGGCTATTGGGAGCTTTGGCTGCGTTTGGATCAGGTTAAGAGGTTAGTTTTTCTAAGAGTTCTTGTCCAGAATTTTGTTTGTTCGCTCGAGCGACCATTCCTGCACTTGAGAGCAGTCTTTTATAGTCTGTAAAACTTCTGAGAGTTTGATATTTTCGCTCGAGCAATCATTCTTGCGCTTGAGCAAACTTTTGTAGGTCTGAACTTCTAAGAGGGGATCATTGTGCGCTTAAGCGGTGTCACTTATTGTGTTTGTCGCTTGAGTGGTGTTTTGGTCGCTTGAGCAATCTGTGCGTATATCAGTTCAAGAGACAACCTTTTTCTGTCACTTTTTCATCTCTTTCTAAACATTCCAAAACCCTAGATCTACTTTCTCTCTCTAGTTCTTGAAATTTAGCTCCAAATACTCTCAATTCGTAAATTTCTTTACCCTAGTCTTTTGGAGAAAAACGTTGAGCACGTCGAGAGTTTCGTTTTAATTAGAGCATTTGGTGTTTTTGACTCTGTCAAGTTCTACCCATCTTTTCTTCGTGTCTTCTACTTTGAGATAGTAATTTTTTTTTACTTTTCTATATGCTTTTTAACTTAGTTATTTGCTCTTTGAAAAATGTTCCTTATTTGGGAATTTTGGTAAAACATAGGGTTTGGTTTTGAAGTCAAAAGAGGGATTTTCCAAATTGATTCTTGAAAATGGTTGTAAGAATATAGTTGTGGATGAGTTGTGTTGAAATGGTAAAAATCTTTTCACAAAATTGATTTAAAAAAGAAGAAGAGGGTTTTGCCATAATTTTGGATATTTGAAATTGTGAGAAGAAAAATGGAAAATGATGTTGGATATTGTGAAATTGAAATAATGGTTACGTTGATGATGATGGTAGAGTTGGATATGTAATATCACTCCCATTGTAATTGAGGAAAATGCATCTTTTGATTGGAAATTATCTATTGTATAGAAACACCAGTTTTGGGCTATCGATGGAGGATAATCTTGATTGTTGTAGATATTGCATGAGAATTAGGTTGAATTGAAACTAATTTTTCATCCATTGTGCATTGTGCATCATTATACATTAAACATTACAAATGTATTGGTTTTTGAAAAAATAGGTGAATATCTTGGTGAATCTGGTTAGGGGATATGGTTTTGGTTATGATGTTGGTCTGTGTGTCCTTGGTGAAAGTCTAAAAACCTGCGTGGTTAGGTGTCGAGCCTTCCGGTTTGTACCGGTAAAATAGCTTTGGTAGTGCTTGTGTAACCTACTGGCAGACACGTATCTAGAGATTCTCAGTGTTTTGTATCCACTGTCCTATTTTCTATATAAAAGGATTATTTTCATGAATTGACATATAATCTGGCATTGCACGGATTTGAGATGGAAAACGAGGAATGTTTGGAAATGGCATGCATGTGCATTTACTATATAATTTTGCTAAGATTCATATATTGTGTTAGAGTATCTCTATTGGATTTTGGCTCACCCTATGTGAAAAATAACTTTCAGATGTTGATGATATGCCTCCCTCAATGACATAACTTGGGAGGACTTGGAGTTTAAGGCTTCTTTTTGGTTTTGTTTTGATATAATTATTTTGTTTAAGCCTCAAGCCTTATTAGTATTAATTTTAAACTCATTTTGTTGTAACCAAGTACAATCTTGAAAAGTTGTAGCCAAAAGGGCATTTCCTTATTTAGTTTTATTTTCCTTTTTACTTTTGTATCCCTGCCATATGCTATAGATTTGGAATCTAAACTTTGTAAATATATATTGCATATGTCACATTTTGTAATCATCAAAGAAATAATGAATGGAATGTTTGAGATTGTTAATCAAATGTGGCACTGTTATGTAATGGGTTAACGTTAATTATTTTGGGACGTTACATATCAAGTTTGTGGGTGTTTTATTTAACGCTTCTTTTGTTTTGCAGGAAATATTGTGTATCTTTTGATATTTGGTATAATAGAAAATGAAAATTTATTTAGGTAAAAAATATTTTCATTTTTAAAAGATAAAAAATATTTTGATTTACCAATGCTATAACTAAGAGTGTAAAAATGGTTTGTGGCCCATAGACAGCCTGAAGCCTGCCCGCAGCCCGTGGTGGGCCCAACCCGTTTAGGCTTGTTTGGGTTCGAGCCTGGGCTTGAGCCTAACCCGAGACCCTAGGCTAGGGGCTGGGCCATTTTGAAGTTCGACCCGTCCCGTCCAAGGCCCATTTTTTTTTTTGTGAAAAATAATAAAATTTTGATAGAAAAAATAAAAAAAACAAAAAACTTTGTTTAGGCTTGCCCAAGCCTGAGTCCAGGCCCGACCCAAGGCCCGAATACTCCATGAGCTTGGGACTAGGCTTAATTTTTTGACCCGTGGGTCGGCTTGGCCCGAATTTTGGCTGGAGCCCATGAGGTCCGACATGGGCCGGCCTGGGCTAGGGTTCGGACCCGGGGGGTGGGGTGGGACAAATTGACACCCCTAGCTATAACACTACTATTGTTACCATCACTTCCATCACCTTTACACCGAAACCACTATTAACAGTGTTGAAGCCACAACCACCTCCACTCCAATACCAATTTGGTAAAAAAAATTAAAAAAATTTATCATTTTTATATTAAAAGATTTAAAATTATATTTTTGATATTTATTTTTATCAAATTAATTTCTATTTTTTTTAAAAAATCTAAATATTTTTTTTGGAACACAAACCAAACATATATATGGATAGTTGTCCCATGATCATGACCTTTGCCCCCAATTCCTAACCTTACATAACGTAATTTAAAAGCAATTGTAGGCAACCCAATTCAAAAGTCCCAGATAAATTAATTTGCAAGCAACTGTAGGTATTTATGCATATTTAAAATTATAATCTAGAAAGGAAAATTCTATTATTATATATTTTGGCTCGGTTTGTTTTGTTATTTCTTGGACCACTTGGAAAATTTATCTATAAACCCATATGAAGAAATATTGATCCATTTAATTCTAAGAGTTTTTTATGAACCAATTAGTCTTTTTATTTTGAAAAGTTATATTTATTTGATTTGGTATCATTTGAGTTTAAGTGAATACTTTTTACGAATTATTTTTCTAATTTTTTCTTTTTCATTTTTGGGATGAGAATGAAAAAGTGAGGTGTGAGTATTCATTTTAGAAGAATTGGTGGCTGAAATGTTGGCTGTTGAGTGTGAAAATTTACATTTCTGTCAATGTGGTTTTTTGGTGTTACATTGAAGTGTTACATTAGAGTGTTACGTTTGGCAAAAGTACAGGAAGGAGTTTTTGTATGTTACATTGATTGGAGTATTACATTTGAAAAAAATACACCAAAGAGTTTTTTAAAATGCTATATTGTTACGTTTGAAAAATAAAATAGACTAAAGAGTTTTTTAGGATGTTACATTAGAGTATTACGTTTGAAAAAAGTATACTAAGAAGCTTTTTTAGAATGTTATGTTGTTAGATTTGAGAAAAGTTTACTAAGGAGTTTTTTAGCGTTACATTGATTGGAGTGTTACGTTTAGAAAAAGTACAACAATAAGTTTTTTAGTGTGCTACATTAGAGTATTACGTTTTTAAAATGTTACGTTTAGAAAAAGTATACTAGGTAGTTTTTTTGAAGTGTTGCGTTTAATAATTTCTTTTTTTTTTATTAAATCAAGTTTAATAATTTCAACATTATGAAAAAATTCATATTGATTCTTTATGTAATTCATACTAGAATGAGACTTTTGGATCCATAAGAAAAAATAGAGGACCAAATAGTTTATAAGATCACTATTTAAGATTTATTGATATTTCACCGTATTTTATTTTATTTTTATTCATTTAAATTAGGTTAATAAAATATTATGAGTAATTGTATAATTTTGCATTTGAAAAATGCTAAGATCCCAACATTTTTATGAAGAATTTTATTAAATGTCCCATATATAAGTGTGAGACTCACACCTATATGACATTTGGTAAAAGATTTGATAATTTTTTTTTTATATTCTTTTTATGTAGCATTGTTGTTTTCATTTAGGTTTGAACTTGGGAAGATCATTTCTTAGTATTACTTTTTAACTTTTAACTTGGCTAAATTAGTTTTATTTAAATTTTTTTTTGATTTTCTTTAAAGAAAAAATAAAATGATTATAATTTGAATGTGATATTTTATTTTATTTTATTTTACTTATTTTATCTTTTTATGCTATTTTAATAATTTTTTAATTTTTTATAAAAAAAAATATAGAAAAATAAAAAAAATGATATGATAATTTATAATAATTTTTAAATTATTATTATTTTTTGATTAAAATTAAAGATCGACAAAGGAGTCTAAAGTTGGGGTGTAACTCGGGCGGGTTTGGTCGGGTTGGGAGGTTATCCAAACCCAACTCAAGTTGTGCTGAGATCTGCCCAGACCCGAATTGTAACTCGATGTTGCCTGTCCAAGCCCGACCTGAGTTAAACCCGAGTTGTCTGAATTGTAAATCAATTTTAATTTTTTTTTAGCTACATTATTAAATTATTAAACTTGGACTCTATTTACATTTTTTTTATTTAGAAAATCATTAATATTATCAAAACAAATAATTTATGGGGGATGCACCAATAAATCCCAAATTAATAACTTATACACTGTTTAGTCCTAAAAGTTTTCTTATAGACTGAAAGGTCCCATTACAATGTTTCAAATATCAGATTAATGTTTCGAACATTAGATTTCGAACATCAGATTAATGTTTCGAACATTAGCTTTCGAACATCAGATTAATGTTTCAAACATTAGATTGATGTGCAAATTGGACTAAATGGAGCATAAGAAAACTTTTAGGACTAAATGGTTCAACTTTTCAGAAACTAGGACTTATGGGTAAATTTTCCATAATTTATATAATGTAAGAGAGATACCGCTATAGTAATCTTTACAATTTATGAGTGAAAATAAAAAAAATAAGATTTTATACTACTTGTATATATAACATATATTCAATATGATTTAATAATTTAAATTACTTTAATATCATGTAATGACTAATAATTTTTATATATAAATATATATAAAATTCAAGTTTCGAGTTGTTTGAGTTATTTGGTATCTTTCTCAAATCCATTTAAATTTAATTCAAATTTCTAAATATTTATGCAAGTTCGTACTAAATTTAAAAATATTTTATCTAAACTCTAAAAAAAAATCAAGTTGATTTCGAGTGATTCGGATTGAGCTCACCCAAATTGCAATTCTACCCAAAGTGCCGATTTGTCACGTCGTGCAAGTCGTTTTGGGGAATAAGTTAATTGTGTTCTAGTTCTAGTTCTGTTCTGTTATGCCATGGTTTACGGGGCAACATCGCAAGCGACGAAGACGACCTGACCTGACGACAATAGAATAGAGACTCTCTCTCTCTCTCTCTCTCTCGCTCTCAGTCCAAACTCCAGCCAATTCACCCTCTGCTGATGTACACCTCTCTACGCCGCATCGCCACCACACCACCTCGAATCTCAGTCTTCCCCATAGTATCTATCTATCAATCATGTCTAAATTCAATTCGATCACAAAACAAATCCCTAATTTTTGAGTGTTTCTCTGTCTCCTCTAGTCCATGTGTAAGACCAAGAAGAGCACGGACGTGATCGAGCCCAACAACTCCACTACCACCTCTCGAATATCAAGATCATCTCCCAGAAAAAGCTCCGAAGCCTATCGATCCTCTCAGAAATCTTCAGGCGATCCTTCCCCGACCACTAGCGCCAACTATACCAGTTACAAGGACTCATGGCAATCTTCAACTTCCAGCCGCAATTCACTGTTCACCCTCCGAGAATCTTTGCCAGAGAACGCTCACATTTACGACTTCTCTCTAATTTGCTCCGCCACTAACAATTTCCTCGCCTACAAATTCTCTGCCTCTTCTTCTTCCTCTTCGTGGCGGTGTCAGATTCGCGGCAACGACGTCGTTGTCTTCCAGAGGAAGTTCCGCCGCTCCATCGACACCGAGAAGCTACGCCAACGCCTTTCCTTGATCTGCAAGAGCCACCACTCCAGCTTGATCAAACTTCGCGGCGCTTCTGTCTCTGGAAATTATATTTACCTTGTTTATGACTATGTTCATGGTGCTAACCTTGCGAATTGTCTTCGAAACCCTAAAAACCCTAATTTTACTGTACTTTCGAATTGGATGTCTCGAGTGCTGATAGCGACCGATCTGGCTCACGGTCTCGATTATATTCACCATTCAACAGGATTGAGTTCGAGTTTCGTACACAATCATATCAAGAGTTCAAGCATTATCGTCACAGAACCATCGTTAAACGCCAAAATCTGCCATTTCGGCACCTCGGAGCTTTGCGGCGAGATCGCGGAGGAAGAAGAAGAAGAAGAACAACAAGAAGTGATATCGAAATCGTCGAGATTGAAGAGATCGGACAGTCGAGTGTTGAAATTCGAAGGCACGAGAGGTTACATGTCGCCGGAATTTCAGTCCACCGGTGTATCGACTCAGAAATCGGACGTGTTCGCGTTTGGAGTGGTGATTTTGGAGATACTGTCGGGTCAAGAAGCTCTCAAATACAAAATTGACGATGAGAGCGGTGGTTACGAGAGGATATCGGTGATTGAGACGGCGAGAAAGGCGGTGGAAGGTGGCGGAGGAGTGTTGAGGAGGTGGGTGGACAAGAGGTTGAAGGATTCGTACCCGATGGAGGTGGCCGAGAAGATGGCACGGGTGGGGCTGGATTGTGTGGAGGAAGATCCTAAGATGAGGCCGGATATGGGGCAGGTTGCGGGTCGGATCTCGAAACTCTATTTGGAATCGAATAATTGGGCTGGGAAGATGAGCTCCCCAACCGACTTCAGCGTCTCTCTCGGCCCACGCTGACGTCAAAGTTTTTGTTTTCTTCACAGAGCTCGCCATTTTTGCAATTGAGACTGCATAGATGAGATGAGTGATTATATTTATGATTTTATTCAGTTTTGTACATTTATTTTAAACATTTTCTACCATTTTTATATACTCTAAACATTAGAGATTAATGGTAAAGTGTGAATACTTTTTTTTGATTGACCTATTATAACGCCTTCAAAATAATAACATTAAACCCATCAATATAAACATGCATTTGTATATAAAAAAAAAATCCACATTCTTCAATTCATCAGAATATTTCATTACAAAAGTATTACATGTTAACAACAAAAGCAAATGCCCTATGGGCTTACAGCTTTCCAAGTTAACACTTGGTTACAAAAGAGAGTACTAACTCAATTACACGTTAAGCCCTTGGCTTGAATCTATATGTAATACAATCAAGAAAGAATAAGGCAACAAAAGTATGTCTGCCTCTAGCCTCCCAAGCTATGTCCTCAGAGGTGGCATGCTACCTGTACCTGAAAATGATGTTCTCATATAGGGTGAGCCACAGCCCAGTAGAAGTATACTAAACCGACTATGAACAATGCCTAAAAGATTAGCAACTGATAGATGGTCAATACTTACACTTCCATTTACATCTTATTACAATTCCATGACAGCCAAGTCTATGTTACAATTCACTTTCCATTTTTTTTTATTCAACTTTGAGTTTGAAAACAAGGCTCAGTACTCTGGTCAAAACATTTGATGAGATTATAGTTCATCACTAGAACACTTTCGAAATCCAAGGTGGATACACATTTTGATGTTGTATCAATAACACATAAACTACTTCCATACTTCGCAAGCGATGATGATATACATTTTAGTACTATGTCAAATCAAACAAACTTTTCAATAGATAAGCATATGAGCTATATCACTATTACAACAGATAAGCATATGAGCTATATCAATACTTCAACAGATAAGCATATGAGCTGTATCAACATTCCAATAGATAAGCATATGAGCTATATCAATACTTCAACAGATAAGCATATGAGCTATATCAATACTTCAACAGATAAGCATATGAGCTATATCAATACTTCAACAGATAAGCATATGAGCTATATCAATACTTCAACAGATAAGCATATGAGCTATATCAATACTTCAACAGATAAGCATATGAGCTATATCAATACTTCAACAGATAAGCATATGAGCTATATCAATACTTCAACAGATAAGCATATGAGCTATATCAATACTTCAACAGATAAGCATATGAGCTATATCAATACTTCAACAGATAAGCATATGAGCTATATCAATACTTCAACAGATAAGCATATGAGCTATATCAATACTTCAACAGATAAGCATATGAGCTATATCAATACTTCAACAGATAAGCATATGAGCTATATCAATACTTCAACAGATAAGCATATGAGCTATATCAATACTTCAACAGATAAGCATATGAGCTATATCAATACTTCAACAGATAAGCATATGAGCTATATCAATACTTCAACAGATAAGCATATGAGCTATATCAATACTTCAACAGATAAGCATATGAGCTATATCAATACTTCAACAGATAAGCATATGAGCTATATCAATACTTCAACAGATAAGCATATGAGCTATATCAATACTTCAACAGATAAGCATATGAGCTATATCAATACTTCAACAGATAAGCATATGAGCTATATCAATACTTCAACAGATAAGCATATGAGCTATATCAATACTTCAACAGATAAGCATATGAGCTATATCAATACTTCAACAGATAAGCATATGAGCTATATCAATACTTCAACAGATAAGCATATGAGCTATATCAATACTACAACAGATAAGCATATGAGCTGTATCAACATTCCAATAG